TTTGCATCGCTCTACTGTACGTGTTGTCGTTCTTCGAGAACCCATTCATGGACGTTGAGCAAATCCGTTGACAAGAATCTCAAAACTCGGATCATCATCCAGGAGCTACTGAAGGCGGAAAGGATGACGCAGGAAATCAATTCGTCACAGTTCGATTTTCCCAAAAATCATCCCCTGCTAACCGTACGAAATCAATCCGTAGAAATGCTCCAGCCAGACGGGACTGTCCAAGTCTTTGACTTTAAATGATCTTTATTTATTTTATTTGTTGGTTTACATGTACGGATTATGAAGTGACACAGGTGCGTCTTTTCAACTTAAATACATTTGAATACAGTTCCTAGTCCTATCAGGCCTGTTTTAGAGTATGACCACTAGACTGATGCAAAATTTGAAATTTTCGCTCCACAATGTTCAAACGGTTTTAAATCGGGTCCTGATTAGCCTCCGAAAGTTTAAACTCATTTGATAAGAAACTGATTTGGCACAAACCATTCGAAGTTTATATGGAAATTACTATGGGAAAACCAAACTTTTTGTTCATTGTCTTCTAGCCTTTTTCCATATTGTACTGTAAAATGTTCTATTGCTATTCTTATGAGAATTTTTTTCAGCTACAACTTTGCAGAAAATCGTTTTTCAGCCAAACGCCAAATTAAATAGTTATTAGTTGTTTAATAGATGGATAATCTTATGGCAAGATTAAGCAACTGAATTGTGAGCAACACTGGATTCTGCAGTGTTACATAGTAGCCATGATTTTTGTCCTCTATTCTACGCGCCATAAACACCAATGTTGCCTGCTGAACAGTTGATTGAGCATAATCATAAGACACCAGTGACTTGAATCATTAATAATTTGTGTTCCTTACATTTGATCGAAAAGTGGTCTTGAACAAAGTTGTAGCTGAGAAAATTATTAACAAGCACAGCTATAATTTTCTAAAGTAGAGTGAACTGGTGAATTTTGAGATAGATATGAACTGAAATTATGGTTTCCCCATAGTAATTTTCATATAAACTTCAAATGGTTTGTGCCAAGTCAGGTTCTTACGAAAGGAGTTCAAATTTTGGGAGGATAATCAGAACACAATTTGGAACCGTTTGAACACTGTGGAGCGAAAATTTCAAAATTTGCATCAGTCTAATGACCACCTTGGTGGGATTGGCTTGGACTGTCCACGTCGCCGCACAGCCTTTCGATGTTGGATGATGTCGATGGTGAAGTTGAGGATGAGCATGTCCAATGTTGAATAAGCCAGTAAATTTATTGAAAAAATATTTACTGCTATTTAATAAATATATTTTTGGATTCATTTTCAATGATTTTTCTTCGGGGACTGAGGTTAAAATGTCTAGTTGCGGAGCAGCAGTGATTCTATTTTAATCAATCCTGAACTAGTCCAGCTTGAGCGTTAAATGCTTCCTGGTGATTCGGCCGCTTGGTGGTTCTGTTGGTGTGCCGGATAGCGCATCTATGTCTGGAACTCTACATTGTTGCGGATACCAGTGTCAACAATCAAATTTTGACACATCCTGGCAGTGGTGCCAGTTACTTTAGAGATCACCAAAAATATGTACCATGGGTGTCAAACAGTGCCAATGAGTGAGCCATGGTGTGCCCTACTGTGTTTTTGGCACACTGTGCTGAGTGACCATTGCTTATCGCATATTAGCTTAATGTGTGCTCTTAACTTAGTGTTCTGGATGCACTTCTACAGTTATTAATTGAGAGCTTTCGATGCCTGATATCATTTTTCCATTAGTATAATTGTGTGGCAAATACAATCATATAGAGTATGCTCAGGGAAGCCGAGAAATTTATCAACCCGAAAAATTCCTAGACCGGACCGGGAATCGAACTAAGCCACCTTCCAGCATGGTCTTGCTTTGTAGCAGCGCAGCGCCTTTACCGACTAAACTAAGGGAGGCCCTTTGGTTTTGTTGTATTTTATGTTCATAGCAAATATGTTTTCGAATAATGTTCCATTTATTTCTAGAAGCAAGGATGTTTTTGTGACGGATGATTGTGTTTTGTGAATGGTAGATATGTTTCATTTTCATTTGTTTTTAATGCGTAGGTTTCTTAGAGTGTAAAGTGTTTGCAAAATGTCAGTCTTCTTATTTGAAAATTTATAATTTTGTTGGAGTACCGTTTGTCGTTAATACAATGTAATACACAAGCATGTTAACCGCAATGACTAAATTAATGTATATTGTTTAAGTATTTACCTCAGCCACTCATATCATTGCGAATGTAAAGCACGGGACACGTTACGAACCCTTCCGCCCATTTCATAAACTCACCTTTGTTTTGAATCATCAAAGTAAACATATTAACCAAATACACATTGCCGTTTCCCTGTCCCCAGATAATCGTCATCATACTTTTAGATTTAAACGAAAATGATAAAATGTTACAGTGGCCCACAATCGCTACGCATCTATCTTACTGTTCATTGTCACGCCGCATTCCTAGAAACACACATCTGTAATCTGATGCTTGCAATAACAAGTTACACACGCACTTTAGTCATACATAATCGGACTTGTTTTTTGCAAAGTTGCATAGAGGTTACCAAAAAACAAGAATCTCACTAGTATAAAAACCTTACGTAAAATATAATTACAGCTCTAGACACAGAAACAAAAAGAAAAAAAAAAGATGAAACGAATGAAGCTCCTACACGTGTGGTGGTGTTGGTGTGGGATTGCGAGTGTATCGTGGAATCCATTCCAAATTACGTGTGCGGGTGGTGATGGGAAAAAAAGTACCAACTAGGCGGTGAGTTAGGAGGCATGGTTAATTTGTTTGATTTTGGGTTTATTTATCGAAGGACGCAGCAATCGAAGCCGAGTGTAATGTAATACAACTTTTTTTTTTACGTTGGAGAATAGGAGAATAAAGGTTTTGTTATTAGCAGTTTGCTCATACACAGACACACCCACACGCATGCTCTCGCCCGCACAACAAGTGCCAACTGCTTCCACACGGCAAAGGCCTACTTGGGGCTCGCAGCTTTTTCCATGGAATTTAATGCGTGGAAGCAGCAGCCACATTGGATCAAGGTGGCAACGATCCGGCGATGAGAGCGGGATGCATGTGCGCGTGTGTTTTTGTTTATTTTTTTTTAATTTTTTTTTTTAAATTTCAGAGTCATTTGTTTGGGTGTGAGTGAGTGTGTATGTATGATGGAGGGAGGAATTACGTGATATTAATTTTGTTTCGCCATCTCATAATAGGTATGAATTTCAATTTGTTTTTTTTTTCGGGTTCGGTTTTTGCCTTGCCCTGCTGGGCCATACAAAATGGATTTAAAAGACTTCTTTTTGCGACTTGTATGCATTGGAAATTGCCTTTACGTTGCCCTTGGTTGTTTAGAGAAGTAGTAATTAAATGGAAAAAAAATCGTAGAAAAAAGTTTTAAACGTGTGAGAAATGAAACGGATAAAAACCAAAAAAACAAGACTAGAAGGAAGGACACTTTAAGAATTTGAATTTTTGGCAGCTAGGGATCAAACGGGGAATGGGTGGGTTATTATTTGGGGTTCAACGGGGTTTACTTTTCTTACTGGTAGTAGTAAGCAAAACATAAAACAGAAACTATTCAGCGTTTTGAGGTAAAATAATCAAACGATCTGCACCCGGGTGATGGGCAGAGGTAGAAGTACTTTGAAGCTTTGATTTTTTTTCGATGGAATTGGAATTGAATGCGTTTTTATTTGCAGCGACACATATTAGGTCCAACGCATAGATTGATTGCAAGGAATCGAAAGCGTATGCTGGTTTTGGTACAGGCAGGCGTCAGAAGTAGCACAGCTATAAAAGAGCGTACCAAAATCAGTCATGTTTTTTTGTTCAATAAAAAAATACGGCTCCAGCTAGGGTCCATAACTAAGGTGTGACAAAAAGAGCAATCAAGCTAGAATCAAGATCAAAAACGTGTGGGGTGTGTTTATATTTTTATTTAGATTATTTGTGTGTACGTGTACTCAAACTCAAACCACATGAAAGCTCAGGTCGATTGTAGGAAAACAAAAGTAAAATAATTTCATAGCCTATTTCGATTGGTTTCTAATCGAACAGCGAGCTAAACTTTGGATTGGGACTTCTCTGCCGGTACTTTTGGCAACACTGGCTGGGCTCACTTAGCTCACTGCTCGGAACTGTCACTTCGGATGCCTAGCAACAAACGGCACAAGCGGGGTTCTGATGTTTGGGACTCAATCTAGGTTTAAGGCATTCCATGGGCAAACATTGAATGTTGTGGCATTTTCGGTTTCCATCGTTCGATTGCACCATGTGTATTTACAAATGGACGACACAACACGTAATGAAAAAACAAAACAAAGGGCAATAGAACCCGGCACAAGCATTGCTTTTCTCGGTACTGGTTTTTTTTTGGTTTACAATTATGAATGCAACAAGTAAATGCTCTCACTAAGCTTTATAGGAAGCGGAAGCAGTATAGCTGCAAAAAAGTCATACCAAACAATGTTGGAGAAGGAGGAAACAAAGCTCAGAAAAGAAACTGCTTTTACTTTTATTATTATAAAAAAAGGAAACGTCCAACAAACGTTACTATGCATTAGGGGTGTTATGCTCATCGTACATTCGTTTCTCCTTCGGTAATGGTTTAATACAGTTTGGTGTTCGGTAGACAGCGCAAAAAAGTGTATAATACTATCGAAAAAAAAAAACATAATTGAAAACTTTCAAAACAAAACAACGAACCAAACCTAAGGAAATTAACAGAATGATTTGGAATTATTTTACACATGTTCAAATCAAGGAGGTAGGAAATGGTTTTGTGGATTACTGTTCAATTGCTTAAGGTTAAACTTCCTTTTCCTCTGCTATAATGATTATTATTTTTTGTATGTTACAGAAAATGCCGACGTTTGTCTTTTTTTTTTTCGTTTACGGGATAGTGGAAAAGAAACAAATTACGGAAAAAAGGGTGGCTCAAGGTTGTAAGTTCGAATATAAAGGATAATACCTCATCTTTGTCCAAGCCAAGCTGTAAAATATATATATAGAAACCGGCGTCATTTAGTAGACTTAAGGTAGTAGGTAAGAGTAGAGTTAGAATAGTGGGAGGGTTTTTGATTTAAGATTCACGGTAGTGGTGTTGTATGAAAGCAAAAAAGTACGAAACGAAATAATTAGACTGTTTTCTGGTTCGCTTTTCTCGGTGGTGAGCTTGATAAAATGGTACGCGTTTCTCGTGAGAAAACTAAACTGAAGCTGCGTTCTATTTGGTGAATTTTCACTTACATTTGGACCCTTATTCCATACAGACAAGGAATCAGTTTTGACAAACACCTTCTCGAAAATCGGCCGGTCAACATCAGAGGGATTTATTTTCGAAGTGTCAAATTTGAGTGAACATTCACCAAATTGATCACAGCCTGAACAACAAGGCGGGGAAGGTTCGAAATACTTCTATTCTCAGTAGGCTTGCATAAAGCTTCTTTTCTGTTCAAACATTTGCTATTTTTCTTCTCGTTTCGAGCATCGGGCGAGCGTGAGGATAGTAAGAAGGGAAAGAGCAATGACAGGGGCACCGATGGATTTGAGCTCATGCACTGATGAAAATTTGACAGTAAGCACTTCATGTTCATTATTCATGAACATTTAGTGTTCATGCGTAGTAAACATTGTCCAGCTCTCCTGTCAAACTTTCGTTAGTGCATGATCTAAAATTCAACACTTACTCGAGAAAAGTAGCACGACCAGCGGACACTGTTTACTAATCATGAACACTAAATGTTCATGAATAATGAATAATAAGCATTTCGTGTTCATGATTAATAAACATTGCCCGCAGCGTGTGTCACTTTTTATCGATTGTGTGAACTCAAACCCATCCGAGCACTCGTCCTTACATACAGACAGTATTGTGAGCGAAGGATAGTGAAAGGGAATTGAGTTGTCAAAGTTTAGATAGAGGAAGGGGGGGGAGACGGTTGTGGCACGCGCGTACAAATGTCAACATCCAAAACCGAAAGGAAAGGAGCAAATCTTCTCGCTGTTCGAGATATCAAGCAATAGGATACAGGAGAAAAGTTTCAAGCGAACCGAATTCATTCGTTAGGCGGTTTTACGGTTTTGCCGAGGGGAAAGGGGGGTCTGTTTTTGTGGTTTTATCAGCTCTATGACTTTTGTCGGCCCAAGGGAGCGATGGTTTCAACTGTGGAAGTTATATTTATTTTCACTGGTGACAATTTGGCTAAACAGAAAGCAAACAAGAACATGAATAACAAGAAGAAGGGAAACTATAATGAAAATCCTAACGATTCTGTACTTGAGTGTTTCGTTGTCGTTGCTTTTAAACCTACTGACCCCAACGGGAGTGAAAGTGGATTGTTGTTTTATTTTTTTTGGGATGCGATAGTTTTCGGAAAGTCAATCTGAAAGATTCAGAGAGAGAAGCACTAGGATAAATGCTATCGATATAAATTGCTAAAACGAGCTTGCAGTGGCTCTATTGTTCATGCTTGGTAGAAATTTAGATTTGAACTAGGAGAAGTTTGCATAAGTTTGTTTTTTTTTGTTGGACAAGCGTTAACCCACAGACAAACATAAGTAACGATTTGAATAAGTTTTTCTTGAAAACAGTGTACCTCAAAATATAGGACCTCAGTAACGACATCTCTCGAGCTTTTTGCGGAAAAATCGACAGTGAGCATGCATAAGGGCGTAAACACGATGATCGATTCTCTTCGTCGATTTTCTAGCTCACTAAGTCGCAAACAATGTCAAAGTGAACCGATGCCAGGTGATTATTTCGTGGAAATGATATTATTTAAATCAGTCGTTAAATCCGTGAACGATGATCCAGAATGAAGCATTACGTCTGTTTGTCTGTGGTTTACCTATTCTAAGTTTGTTTAATACTGATTAAAATGCAACTTTTAAGTAGAAATATCCGATACAATTTTCAGCAATAGTTTTTTTCATCAATTGCAATTTCCATTACCAAAGCTTAATACATTCCAACGAATAGTGTTTTGTGAATTAATTTCTGAACAGTTTTATTATTTTTTTGTTTATCTGAAGGTAATCAACAGATCAAGTTACTAGATAACGAAAAACATGTTGGGAGAAACTTATCTCCTTTTTTATAGTCAACTCTCCATATCTCGATATGTGACCGTTTTTCTTTCTATATCGATGGTTTTCTCGGTCTTTTAACGGGTCTAGTAGGCTAATCTAATTCTATGTATCGATATCTCTTTATCATGCTTCAATATTGATATATGGAGGGTTGACTGTATAATTATACTAAATCAATGAGTTGTCTATCAGTGTGTCGAGCGATATGTTTGAATACCTTATGGTCTTGATCATTAAGAGTAGTATAACTCTTAGACAACACAAAAATAAATGCATTGAATATGCATCTTCTAAAGGCATTCAACATCATTTGAACCGCTTGTTTAATTAGATAAAATAAAAAGATCTCAAGCCTTTTGCCGAAACTGACAATTTTCTCTTTGATACCGAACATTTAAAAGACCATTTATCGATTACCACTGACAACCGAATGAGTTATGGGGCTCTGCTACTTTGCATGATTTTGCTTTTAGCATTTCAGAGTAGGGTGGAGCACTGCCTCGGCATATGCGTCAAAAACAATGATGACATCCAGCATTCATGCATAACATTGCTCACGAGTTAAATTACGAATGCTGTATAAAAAATGTACAGCACTGTCGGAAGAAGTCGAAGCGAAATGAGGTATGCCCAAATGGTGTCGCACCCTACAGCATTTGATTGTTTTCCAGAAATGAAAATTGAATCATGTTTCTTTTGATATTTAATTTCAATTTTCAAAATATTCTCGAAATCCGGATATTTAGCCCATAAATCCGAACACTTTTAAAAGTTTATTATCACTGCCTACTATCAAAGACTACAACTCAAGAAGACTGGCAACTGTTCTCTTCTCCAATACAAATGTCAAACGTCACTGATAACAGCGCCTCTGTCCATCAAAGGTGGAACTTTGAAGCACAAGTGTTAGTGAGACTGCTCATAAACAGTGACTGTGTGTGTGACCTAATGTCACCGAAACGAATAATCAAAACACGGTACTCGTTGTTGTTTTTGTTTTGCTTTACAATATTTCACGGCAATTTGTATCCTAATCATAGCAAGCCGGTGGTTTTCCAACTCCAAACCGAAAAACTTGTCATGGTGGATCAAGTAGAGGATTGAAATTCGGAAAGAAACCTAGTGAAAGTAACTTTTACTTGTGAACGAGGAACCGAAATATTGTTTATTTTGCCTGTTGGAAGCAATCAATCAAAAGGAATTGACAGCTTCCACCACCATTGAGTGAACTACCGTCATACGGAAGCTGCTGAAAATTCAAGGATTCTAAAAGATCACGATCCAACGGAAGGCGTAGCAGGATCTAATGTTGGAGGAAATGAAAATGAAAGGTTCAAGGACTACAATTTCAAACGGTACGTATTTATAAAGAATATATATCCATTTTAGATGTTGTCAGAACATGAAATCACCGGATAGTGATCCTCTGTATGCTTTAACAATTTGTGGAATCGACCAACCCCTTCCAGAGAATGATAACAACAGTGTCGGATTGGCCAATGACATTCAAATGGACAGCGAGTACTGTGCCAACTTGCCGAGCGTCACAACTTAACCCCCTCTCATTCTATGGCCAAGTTCCAAAGCCGTGCGGAACGGGCATGCATTTTACTAATGCACCATTCGAATGCCCATATATGCATTACTAAAGGGCTTTGGAAAAGTGGAAGATAATTCTGAGATAGAAAATTAATGATCGAGGAAGGTCCCACCATCATTGTGAATGGCATCATTGCCATAGTTTTAATTTTTTTAAACAAATTTAATTACGCATCTGTTCAATTTCAGCTGGAATTTTACTCGTTAAAGCAAAGAAAGAAACCTTGATTTGTTTTCCGTCGATCTTGTTTTCCGTGCTGGGCACCAATGCTACCGACGCCAGGGAGGCAGCCCCCACACCTGGACCCTACCTATCGACCCATCTACTCATGGACCGGGGACCAACGGCTTTACTTCCCTTCCGAAAGAAGGCGTGATCAGAGATGTTATGCCTCAGAACACCTCGGCGGCGCCGACTGGGATTGAACCCAGGCCTGCTGGGGTGAGAAGTAATCACGCTTACCACTACACCACCGGCGCCACCGAAAAGAAAGAAACGTTTCACTTTTTACGGCAATCATAACAAAACCAATAATTGACAGCTATTTATTTCTACCTATGTGTGTGAATGCACTCGCGAATTAACACACAGCATCATACACAGGTTCCGCTTTTGCTCATAAGAGGCGTTGCCGTTACTGTCTCCTGATTTTTGGCAGAGTTGCCAGTCTTCTTGATTTGTAGTCTTCGCTACTATGCTCAACGTAAACGTGTTTTAGGATCGATCTGGATCACGCATATTAGTTATCTTGCAAAGTAGACGTAATATTTAATTATAATTTAAATTTCTGAGTAAACCGACCGTCCGATATTCGCTGCATTACGATATTTCAGCGTTATGAAGAAAGGATCGATCCTGCAAAGATCGATTCGTTGTACCGGTTAAATCGATGGATCGATTCTAGTGCCGTAAATAAAATCGATCCTCCAAGATCGATCTTTTACTAAAGATAGCCCAATCCTATTTTATCGACCAATGGACGGAATGAACTCACAAAAAAATGACTTTTGAGCGGTGCTGTGTTTACTAAAAATGAACACATGGCGTAATGCTCGCGTAACTTTAGATAAGGGCCTGTCAACTTTTATAAACACCATCGGATTGGGAAAATTGTACCCTTCCCGATAGTGCTTTTGGTTTGGTTTGGAAAATGGCCAAATTGTTTGTAAAAGTTGATAGGCCCTTTTCTAAAGATACGCGAGCATTACGTCGTGTGAACTAGTAATCCTAAATACGGATTATATGGGTTATTCGCGGAAATATAATCAGACGATTTGGCAACGTGATTCGTTTTGTTCACA